CGCAGTTTTAAACATTCAAATGTTTTAGGTGCTAAATAGTACATTTGGGGCCTGCACTTCATATCTGAGAGTCAAATAGAACCGTCAAATACTGTGCTTACATTGCAGTTTTAAACATTCCATTTTTTTAGGTGCTAAGTAGTACATTTAGGGTGTGCACTTCATATCTGAGAGTCAAATAGAACCGTCAAATACAGCTGAGACATAGAAATTTTAAAAATTCAAATTTTTTTAGGTTCTAAATAGTACATTTGGGGTGTGCACTTCAAATCTGAGAGTCAAATAGAACTGTCAAATACTATGATTTCAGCGCATTTTTAAACATTCAAATTTTTTAGGTGCTAAATAGTACATTTGGGGCCTGCACTTCAAATCTGAGAGTCAAATAGAACCGTCAAATACTGTGCTTACATTGCAGTTTTAAACATTCCATTTTTTTAGGTGCTAAGTAGTACATTTAGGGTGTGCACTTCATATCTGAGAGTCAAATAGAACCGTCAAATACAGCTGAGACATAGAAATTTTAAAAATTCAAATTTTTTTAGGTTCTAAATAGTACATTTGGGGTGTGCACTTCAAATCTGAGAGTCAAATAGAACTGTCAAATACTATGATTTCAGCGCATTTTTAAACATTCAAATTTTTTAGGTGCTAAATAGTACATTTGGGGCCTGCACTTCAAATCTGAGAGTCAAATAGAACCGTCAAATACTGTGCTTACATTGCAGTTTTAAACATTCAGATTTTTTAGGTGCTAAATAGTACATTTGGGGTGTGCAGTTCATATCTGAGAGTCAAATAGAACGGTCAAATACTGTTGTGACATAGCAGTTTTAAAAATTCACATTTTTTTAGGTGCTAAATAGTACATTTGGGGCCTGAACGTCATATCTGAGAGTCAAATAGAACCGTCAAATACTGTGCTTACATTGCAGTTTTAAACATTCAAATTTTTTAGATGCTAAATAGTACATTTGAGGTGTACATTTCATATCTGAAAGTCAAATAGAACTGTCAAATACTGCTGTGACATAGCTGTTTTAAAAATTCAAATTTTTTAGCTGCTAAATTTGGGGCCTGCACGTCATATCTGAGAGTCAAATAATGTGCTTAAATTGCAGTTTTAAAAATTCAAATTTTTTGGGTGCTAAATAGTACATTTGGGGTGTGCACTTCATATCTGAGAGTCAAATAGAACCGTCAAATACTGTGCTTACATTGCAGTTTTAAACATTCACATTTTTTAGGTGCTAAATAGTACATTTGGGGCCTGCACTTCATATCTGAGAGTCAAATAGAACCGTCAAATACTGCTGTGACATTGCAGTTTGCCTAATTCACATTTTTTTGGTGCTAAAAAGTACATTTGTGGCGTGCACTTCATATCTGAGAGTCAAATAGAACCGTCAAATACTGCTGTGACATTGCAGTTTGCCTAATTCACATCTTTTTGTGTGCTAAAAAGTAAATTTGTGGCATGTACTTCATATCTGAGAGTCAAATAGAACCGTCAAATACTGTGGTTACATCGCAGTTTTAAACATTCAAAGTTTTTGATGCTAAAAAGTAAATTTGTGACGTGCACTTCATATCTGAGAGTCAAATAGAACTGTCAAATACTGTGGTTACATCGCAGTTTTAAACATTCAAAGTTTTTGATGCTAAAAAGTACATTTGTGGCGTGCACTTCATATGTGAGAGTCAAATAGAACCGTCAAATACTGCTGTGACATTGCAGTTTGCCTAATTCACATCTTTTTGTGTTCTAAAAAGTACATTTGTGGCATGCACTTCATATCTGAGAGTCAAATACAACCGTCAAATACTGCTGTGACATAGCAGTTTTAAAAATTCAAATTCTTCAGGTGTTAAATAGTACATTTGGGGCGTGCACTTCATATCTGGTGTATGTGTGCAACACTGGCTAGTTACCGCTTCTCAAGAAAGTCTAAAGACTTTTTTAAAAAGTGAAAAATAAGTGTTATTGTGATCGCTTCATTTACAGAAGCATTAATATACATTTCTATATTGTGTAAAGACACAATTACAAAGTTAAAAACCAAACACCAAAACAACGTGCCAGACAATCTACCTATGCATGGCTAGTGTGATACAATAAGTCTGCATCTTAAAAATGCAATCACCATGGGCGTCCGCATGGGGGAGGGGCACTTCTTGCCCCCACTGGATTTTTCTGCTTGTTCTGCTATTTTTATTGTGAGATTTAAAATGAACTGCAATACTTGTATGGAGAGAGACAGGGATAGGAAGCTGCATCTTATCCCTGCTTCTCTCTGCTGATTGAAACCGCAGGGGAACAACACATGCAGCCAGAGACAGCCTACAGATCAGGTAAGTGAGGGATGGAGGGAGGGTTTGAGAGTGGGGCAGCCATATAGGAATTTGGGGCAGCAACCAATAGATTTGGGGTGAGCAGCCATAGATTTGCAGCAACCCATAGATTTGGGGAGTGGGGGCAGCAGCCCATAGATTTGAGGGAGGGGGCAGCAGCCTATAGATTTGAGGGCAGCAGCAGCCTGTAGATTTGAGCGGCAATTTAGATTTAGGGGCAGCAGCCCATAGATTTGGGGGAGGTGGGGGAGGGCAGCAGCCTATAGATTTGGGGCAAGCCCATAGATTTGGGGGCAGCAGCCTTTAGAATTTGGGAGGGCAGCAGCCCATGGATTTTAGCCCATAGAGGCAGCAGCCTATAGATTTGGGGGCAGCAGCCCATAGATTTGGGGAGGGGGGCAGCAGCCCATAGATTTGGGGGGGCAGCAGCCTATAGATATATAGAAATGAACAGGAAGGGTCAGCAAGGAGCTTGAAGGTAAAGCAGCACAAAGGTAAAGTAGAAGGAGCAGAAAGGGTCAGAAATGAGCTGGAAGGGGCAGAAGGAGCACAAACATAAAGTAGGAGAATGAGCAGGAAGGGCCTGCAAGGAGCAGGAAGGAGCACAAAGGGACAGCAAGGAGCACAAAGGTAAAGGAGCAGAAAGAATCAGAAGGAGCACAAAGGTAAAGTAGGAGAAAGAGCAGAAAGGGACAGCAAGGAGCACAAAGGTAAAGTAGAAAAGGGAGCAGAAAGGGTCTGCAAGGAGCAGAAAGGGATCAGAATGAGAAAGGAGCAGAAGGGCGCAAAATAAGCAGAAAGTAGCAGAAAGGTAAAAGAGCATAAGGGGCCAAGGATAGAAAACAGTGTCAGAAGAAAAAAAAAGACTGTCAAATGAAGGAGAGGAAAAGGATATTGGAGCAGGAAGGACAAATGAAGTGAACCCTCCACTTTATTCTGGACACCACATCATAAGGCTTTGGTACCTGGGCCTGGCAGGGAAACGTTGGACCTTCTCATCTCCAAAGGTAAAAAAATATTGGTGTTAATGTGTTCACTTTTATTTACTGAGTGTCAGGAAGCACAGAGTGCCGTTGGGTAGGGGTGTTGCTGATTGGCTAGAGTGGTCAGCTGGCACTCTAAGCCAATCAGTAGCTCCCCATTCATAAAAAAGTAAAAATATTTTATGAACCGGGAACTAGCGATTGGCTTAGAGCGTCAACTGACCACTCTAGCCAATCAGCGGCACCCATGCCTGACGTCAATCTGCACTTCCTGACACTCTGTTTCAGAAGCCAAATACCACTGAGCGACCTGGAGCTGGAGGAAGCCTTTGGGGTTAAACCATTTGAGAGCGATTTAACCCCTTAAAGGAAAGCGAGCACCCAGGGGCTTCCTGGCATCATAGCATTTTCATTTAGGTGAAGTTGTTATGGTGACCAGAAATGTCCTTTAATTTGCTTAAAGGAACACTATAGTGTCAGGAATACAAACATATATTCCTGACACCATAGTTGTGAAAACGCTATTCACCCTGGCTTTATGTGATAATGGCTATGCCCCTTCCCTTTCATGACACTGTCAAAAAGGTACCAAGCATGGATGTCATTACAATTATGCACCCCCCCTGGAAAAATTCCTGCAGACGCCCATGGCAATCACCCACAGAAGATGGGCGAGAATTTTTTTTTGCAAACTTTGATTCGAATTTACTTTGATTCGAATTTACTACATCGGACTTGTAATATTGTTTCACACCTACAACACTTGTTAAACAGATCTAAGTGATAGAAAACAGATTTCTATTTTCTACACTAGAAACTACCAGATAACAAGCTGCTATATTTAAACCAGTGATCCATAGCTAAGAGGTACTTCAAATATTGCAATTCTGGGGCAATACCCTCACAAGTCAAACTGAGAGGTCAGTTTATAGGGAAAACTGTTGCCTGGATACAATTCTAAAACCATTTCCATATGTCCTTTGCAGACTTTACATGCTGGAAAAACAAAGGTGCCAACTGCTGTGGCTTTCTGTAGTGTGCAGACCGGCAAGGAAGGCAGGGTTGAGGAGTGGGTGGAAGGTGATGTGGAGGATGATGAGGTCCTAGACCCCACATGGAATCAAGGTCATGCAAGTGACATGTGCAGTTTGGAGGAAGAGGTGCTGGTCGCAGAGAGGCACCAGCACAGCATAAGTGGTAGCAGGGTGCAAAAGCGGAGCGGCCGTCCCCTAGCGCTCGTCGGCATGTATTAGCTCTACAATTACCACAGTTATCCAAGTAACAGATGGAGTGATCAAAGGAACCAAAACTGATTTAATGAGCCATTCGCAGTTTCACTGTAGCAGCTGTGCGCGCTTTCGGCGTTCTCACCCTGCTGCTGCTCACCCGTCTGCGGTGCAGCGTAACTTTGGCCTTCCCACTTACTGCCTCATATGCGACGTACCAGCCTCCTGGTAGAGACTGTGCGAGTAGCAGCAGGCGATAGTGGAGTTTCAGCAGGTCAGTCGCTCTGCACCAGACTTGTCCTCCAATAGATCCTCGTTAAAGGATTTAAAGTGTACTCATTCCAATTACAGGGTCTGGAAAGAGTCATGTATTATTATTTATCGTCACTACTTCTCCACGTCGGGAGTGGGTAATTTGCACGCCTGCTGCCTTCCTTGGATGTGGTAGCCGTTTCTCAGGCTCCCTCTCCGGAATGGAACCCTGATTCTCTGTTACCCGTGGTCACCATGGTAGGCGCAGAAAGTAACATAGAAAATTGATAGGGCAGAGATCCGAATGCGTCATCGCCACCACGGTCACCGCCTCCTCAACCTCCTACTCCACATCCACCTCCTCCTCCTAGAGCAGGGTTTCAAATGCGGAGCAGCAGTCCCCAAGACAGTACGCCTGCTACTGCCCACCTCACCCAGGGACTG